GTTTTATTTTGTTGAATCTAAACAGAACAATAATAAATGCGCACTCCCACCGTGGGTAAGCAATTTTGGTCACGTGACCACAAAAGTCAACGTACACGGCCAAAATAGCTCGGCTGAGGTAAGTTTTTTAGTGATTATTTTTCTGTCCAGCCGATTTAAATAATACTACATAGCCTACCGACCGCAGCAGTTCCGATGCTTTCTAAAAATGTATTTAGTTTCGTCTAATGTTTTGTATTTTATGAGAACATTCAAACAATATTTGCAAATTGTTGATGACAACGTACACACTATTGTGTGTAAAAGTGTTGATAAAAACTTAATAAACGATACGCATGTAAGTTCTAAATAAAATTTCAGGTCTTAAAATATATAAGAGAATGTTTAAATGAAATAAGAACTGGTTTTTTCTGCTGTCATTTTTTGTATTAATTTAAAAATTGACCAACTTAAGCCTAGGTCACAAATAAGAAAATGCCGCCGGGCGGCGTCTGTTTCTCCAAAAAATCGCAATATCGGCCGGCGTCCGTCCGGCGGCAGTGACTATCGAACGGCAGCAGCTGAAAATTGTGCTCATCGGGCGGGCGCCTTCGAGTTTTAAGTAATATTTAAAAGCTAACGGCGGCCGGACGATATATTTTGGGGTCACTGAGTATAGATATCATCGAGCGGACATCGCTCGGTCGCCGGGCGGCGACCGGGCGATGATTTTTTGAGCGGGCGATTTTTTGTTCTACTAAAACAGCGTCCGATTTTAAAGGCGTCCGGGCGAACATCGGCCGGGCCCCGCCCGGTGCCTGAATAGAGACAAGTAGTCAAACGATTATCGCCCGGTACCTGGACGATTCATGTACAGGCACCGGGCGGTCATCGTTTTGTCATCCGGCGACCGGGCTGTTTGTGTTTGTTGTAATGTCAGCTTGAAGAAGTTGCAATTGCCTCAAAAATATATTTGTGAATTTCTTTTGAATACTAGTAAACATGAATTTTTTCTTCAATGTCCATGCGAATGTCTGATTGATTTTCGCCTTCTACGGCCTCGATACTGGCCGTTGGTGACTCGTTGTCAACAAACACGGACCAACTCCTTGGCCTTCCCCTTGGCTTTGGCAGCTGACTTCTTTGCTGGCATAATAGCAACTGGCTGATTTATCTAAGATATCATTAAAAGGAAAGTCATTGTCGCCTGGCGCCCGCGCGGCAACCGTCCGATTCACTTTTAAATCGCACAGGCGCCGTACGGACATCGCGCGGCGACCGCCTGATCCGTTCAATTCTTTCTGTAAAATCCACTCGGCAAAAATCGCCCGACGACTGTTTCATTCATGACCACGCAAGGGATCAGATTTAAAATCGCCCGGCGTCCACGACATCAAAAAATCTGCCGATTTTATAAAAATCGTTTAATCGGACGGCGCCCGTTTTATTTGTGACCTAGGCATTACGGAAATGTCAACGTACACATACAGTCTAGAAAATGTCAACGTACACACTCCCAATTTAGTTTGATAGTGGTCTTAACATGAGGCTGCCACTTCGAAGTAGGTGGCTTTTTTAACAAAAAGCTAGTTGGTTTTCTTTTTATCAGATTTCCCTCTGAAACTGTATATTAGTACAGCTTTATACATTTGTACTAGGAAAAAAGTCGCAAGTACATTCATATCATCACAAATAAGCTTAAACAACCTTTAACTTTTTATAATGTTATTTTTTTTGTTCTTTTGTGATTTTCTTTCAGAAGAAAAAATCCAGTTACTTAGACTGCTTAAAAATTTGCTGAAACATCAATTTTTATACTATATGAATTTAGATCATTTTACATTCATTTAATAACGTGAACAGCCAGAATAAGCGTCTCTTGCTTATCAACCTAGTGCCTTCTGTAGCAACAAAAGTTGCTAATGGTTGACGATGACGCCGAGTAAATATTTTATGGGTATTACCGGTATTTCAGCAGTTATGTCACTTTTACCCCATGATAACACCACGAACGTTCTATTAACATTATTTTTAAATAATATTAGCCTTGCACTAGTTATGTAATTGCCACAGACATTGTTATAGACATTGTTATTTAATACATGGCTAGCTTGATAGACGTGATATGTAATTTTGCATTCACAGTTTTCTTTGCCCTTGTTGTTTTACTGCAATTTTTGCCAATTTACAAGTCTATGATATGTATTCAACAAAAATGCTCAAGTGCCATACATTTTAATAATTTGCATTGCAATCAAAATTTTAAATTCAACCAAACCATTTTATTTGAGTAAAATGTCGATAAAATTTCTGCATTGTAACAATCATTTCAATATATTTTGTGGCATTTCTATGATTACTAGTGGGTCGGTCATATGACTGTGGTACTTGATATAACTTTTTAAATGTTTAAAAAAATGTCATTGATTCATATCTATAGCTCATACATTGCGCACAAAATAAGATGGGTAAATTTATTACTAGAAACCATTTCCGTTTAATGTATTACTTGTAACCATTTTCCAGTAACTGGTTTCTTGAGCAGTAAAAGCATTTTACTAGAAACTTGGCACTAGTAACTAACCATTTTACAAAGGGTAATTGGTTGCCCTGACTAACCTATAAAATGGTGAATTGTTTATTAGATATTTTTTACATAACAAGTGCAAGTAGATATATTCTTGAAAATATAATGTAAAAAGAACATTAGTAATGTAATCATAGGGATCAAGTGACGCAACTGCTGAAAAACCGATAACATAAAATTGTTACTCGGCGTCATCGTCAACATTGTACCCTTTTGCTGCTACGGAAGGCACTAGTTGGTTGAGCAAGAGACCCTTATCCTGGCTGTTTACGTTATTAAGATGACTGTTATTACGATCTATATTGTACTACGATCCATATTAATTCAGTATAAAGGATAAAAACGGCTGCTTCAGCTAATAATTAAGCAGTTAAAGTCTAAAACACAAAAGTACAAATAAAAAACATAAAAAAGTTAAAGGGTGTTTAAGTTTATTCGCGATGAAATTAATGCACTCTACACTATTTCCTTAATAAATAGTAATCATATATACAGTTTGAGAGGGCAATCTAAATTGAAAGCCAACTTTTTGTTGGAAAAAGCCACCTATTTCGAAGTTGCAGCCTCATGTTCAGACCACTATCAAATTTGGAGTGTGTACGTTGACACTTTCTAGACTGTATGTGTACGTTAACATTTCTGTAAGTTGGTCAATTTTTAAATAAATACAAATAATGACAGCCGGAAACCAGTTCTTTTTTCATTAAAACATTCTCTTATATATTTTAAGACCTGAAATTTTACATGCGTATCGTTTATTAAGATTTCATCAACACTTTTACACAATAGTGTGTACGTTGTCATCGACAATTTGCAAATATTGTTTGAATGTTCTCATAAAATACAAAACATTAGACGAAACTAAATACATTTTTAAAAAGCATCGGAACTGCCGCGGTCGGTAGGCTATGTAGCATAATTTAAATCGGCTTGACAGAAAAATAATCACTAAAAAAACTTACTTCAGCCGAGCTATTTTGACTATACGTTGACTTTTGTGGTCACATGACCAAAATTGCTTACCCACAGTGACTCCGCTTGAAAGTGAAACCAATAACTTGTAAGGCGGTCATTCTACTCTTCACCATTCTGAAATCTAATTTAAACTCCCCGTTCTTAAATACAACAGTATCTTTGAACTGACGTTACCTTAAACAAAAACAAACACGCTTGTTATACATTTTTTTTCAAATTTATTGCACTATATTTAATCATTCTAATGTCCTTGTGGTTTTTTTTAATATTTGAGACAGATATTTTTTACTATATGGAGAAAAACCTTATCAATTGCCGCCTATTGTAATTCGTATAGTATTCTTATTATATAGTGTTTCATTTCATATATTTTCATATATGAAAAATGGACATATCAGGTCTTATTGCTGAAAAAAGTATATATAAGGTTTGTTTGAATAATCAATAACTGTCAAAAATAAACATTTGCAGACTCGTTCGCATTAGGTGTGTTCGTGGACAACACGGTTCAATGTCACGGGGGTTGAACCCCATATGTATCTCAAAAAATGAGCATTGGTGAATTTCCTCTGCATCAGATGTGAAGCATAACACTAGATGTGACTGTAAAAATAGGTCAATCGCAGGGTCAGTTTTCATTTTCTTCATTCACATTGCATGTTTTGGACATACCAGAACCCACGACGGAAAGAATATCTCGATGATGACTGCATATAAATCCAAAACAAAAATGGGTAATATAGAGGAGAGTCAGGCGGGCAAAATCACATTTCGATTTTCTTAAAAAAAGAATTGAATTTTAAATAAATGTTTAAAGAGATGAAAACTGACCCTGCGATTGACCTACTTTTACAGACACATCTGATGTTATGCTTCACCTCTGGTGCAGCGGAAATTCACATATAATTTTTACCGATGTTCATTTTTGAGATACATATGGGGTCCCACCCCCGTGAATGTAAGCTACAGTAGTATGACTGCAATTTGCCCTTGCTTATTAACAATTAGGTTGAATGCTAACGTTGATTTTTTTGATTTTTTTTTTCACAGAAAAAAAAAATGTTTTCTCATATAACGTATAGAATTGTAAATTATAGAACACAAATTTAATTAAGTAAAACTTCCTAAATATTGAAAAAACGTCATTTTCGCCAAAGAAAACGTATATTCAACAATTTGGACGTCTGATTATTCTTAATCAAACAAATTTTTTACCAAATATCTTTTTGTTATCCACAGCAGCACTGGTGCCATGTGAGGCAGTCAGGTTATGAAACAAGTAAATAGAGATTGATCAATACGAATACCTAGAGGCCAGCATATAATAGTTGTAATCAGTCTCTTTATTTATCATTTGACCATGTGTCCGTCCGTCCGAAATCCACACATTACTCTATCATCATAAGTGATCAGGTATACGTAAAATCTCGTCATTTTTTTAATATTACCATTAAAAACGTAAACGGTTTATAATTTTTGAAGTACATATTTTATTAATTGTTTGTAATATGAAAAGAATATAGTTACATAAAAAGAGTCACATGCATATTTTAAAAAAAGCATTAAACCGTCACAACAAATATATTTTCTTGATTATACAAGGGTTGTTCAAAAAGTTATAGGACTGAGAGTCTTGCATATTCATATTTCATCCAATTTAGAATATTTTCATATGTATAGGGATCGTAAAATATTTTCTACAATTTATGCATAAGTTTATAAATTTATTGTGATGAACGCACGTTTCCTGTGATATTGAATAACCATATAAACAAGGGGAGAATTTAACGCAGTTGTAACTGTGTTTTCTGCGTTCAACCTTCAAACAATAGCAAATTATATCATATAACTTATAAATTTTAAAGCATTATTCAGAAATAAATCCAAGAAAAGTTTGATTATACAATGTAGTCCAATAATGCAAAATAATACAAAAAAAAAAAATAAGATGATAAAAACAAACGTTCAGTCAGCCCAATACATGTATGATATATAAGTAAAATATTTTCAAAGCGTAAACATAATGCGTATCCGATACTTCAAACGTTCAGTCTATTAATTGTCCAATTAATGCGCGGTACAAGTTTTATTTTGCAAAATTTCGTTAACAATCGTTTAATTGACGAGCGTCCGACAAATGTGCGATGCTTGTGAAATAGTAAACGAACATCAGTTAATTTAATAACTTAAACAAAATGAATTCCAAAGCTGCGAAATTAAGTAAACAATCATTCATCAAATTACTGTTCCTATAAATATGTTATACATGTCCAATAATATAAAATTAGTCAACCGCCGACCGTCATTCATGTTTCAACTAATAATTTGTATTTAAATGAACGCCCCGATGCTGTCATCAAACGCTTCATACATTGGAACTTTCGGTTTTGGTGCGACGGTCCCGGTCCAGTTGGAAGCATGACATTGGTCTTTGTACGTGAGAATGTTATCATTCTTATGAGCGATCCAATCGTGCATGAGTTTCCCGGAATTAACAGCTTTCTCTGGATATCCTGTGTCCTTTATAAGCTCAGCCATGTACTCTGTCTGGAAATCAATAGCTTTGTCACACGTGTCAAGTTTCGGCAGTCTTTGAACCCATTTCTGTATGTCCTTTTGCATCTCGCCTCTGGACTTCTTCTTGATTTTACCATTTATGTACCTTTGTAATATAATGTTACGTCATATTATTAAGTTGTTATAAAGGAGACTTACTTTATATAATAAATATGATATTTTCATTGTGTCTATTTTTGTATACGTATACTTTTATGTGAATTCTTTCTTGTAAGAGAAACAATTAATCATACTTTTGAATTTTCATATGAATGCAATGTTTCAGATGGGTTTTAAGTTACAACAACACTGTGATACTATGTTACGACTTTACAGCTTTACTGGTGGAGTCAAAACACTCGGGTGTCCCTCCATGCATTATTTCAGGCACGAGCAGGCAACCTGAATAGAACCACCAGCAGTCCATAGGCTAGCTGGCTCAATGGCAGGATTCGAATCCAGTGACAGATAGTGGTTTGGAATCAAATTAATAACATTATCAATATGATTGATGATCATAACGATAAACGAATAAAGGAATTTCAGGCAATTAAAATAGTTACTAAATATACAAGATTTAGTTTTTATATGAGTTCGATAAGGTTGTCATTTTTATAGTCTTAACGGTACTCATTAAACATAGGAAGTTAGGCCAAACCAGATATATTCTTGCACTTTGTATATAACTTTGTTTTTTCCCATGTGTATGCGGGATGGATGCATGATTAGTATGAAAGTTATTAATATATTTGGTACTTGTGGCTAGCATGTTTTCTTAGTAACACACCACTATTTTCATTACCTTCAAAGTAGTAGCATCTCTTTTGTTAAAGCTAGACATTTGTTAAAAGAAATTTTTACATATTGATACATTGGTATGTATATTTTTTGTTTTAATGCTGTAATTGCGGCATGTAAATAATGTACATTTTGTTATAATCATGAATTGTTTTCATCGTATATTGTAAAATATCTCGGTTGTTTGTCTAGTGAATCTTTCTATTGTTGTAAAGTACTTAAATGAATATATAAACACCAATGAGTTATTTTAACATATCCCCGACATTGGTGTTTAGCAGCAATTCCAGCAGAGTTGTAGATTGAATTAGAAAGAAACCAGGTCAGGATGTAGGAGTTTTTATTATCTGAGAAAAGTAGATGAACTTACATGAAAACCCAAACAGCTTGTACGTCAAACATTGTGAAGCTGAAGTACTGGTTTTGGACACCCACATAGAAAAGCTTGTTGTCGCCACCATTAACCCAAAGAACTCCTTTGTACAGATTGTCAGGGTAGAAAGATACATCTGAGGTTAAACGCAGCTTGTCTTCCATAAACGGAAAAGCATAATGGTACCCTGTACAGAAAATCACTGTGTCGAATTCTGCACGGGATCCATCTTTGAATGTAGCACAATTGCCAACGAACTTTTGTACTAACGGACGTTCTTCTATACCTTTTGGCCATTTGAATCCCATCGCTTTATTCTTCCATGTGCAGATGATACTTTTGGCGCCAAATTTAAGGCATTGAATTGAAATATCTTCTGCCGAATAACTTGATCCGATAACAAGTACTCGTTGGTCACGGAAGTCGCTGGCGTTTCTGAAGTCATGTGAATGCATCACACGACCTTTGAACGATTCGATTCCATCAATGGAAGGTACTTTGGGGCAATTAAAAATACCAATAGCAACAAGCACGTGACTGAAAGCTTCTGTGGTGGTTTTGTTATCAACAAGATCATAGGCTTCCACTGTAAACTGGGATTTGACGTCGTCATAACACACATGGCGCACAACATTGTTGAATTTTATGTATTTCTTCAAGTTTGCTTTCCCTTTTTGTGTCCATCGTCCTACAATGTTTGGTCATCAAGTAAAATGTACTTGTATCAATTACGATGTCAGTGATGTAGTTTATATAATACCCATGGTATAAATGTAATTAAATTCTGAATCCTTTTACACATTTTCTACACATTTTATTTTGAAAAGTTTATATATCGTAGAAAAATATATCATTAACTCATTATCTTATTAAAAAAAATAACAAGCAATCTTCCATATATGACGTATAATGGAAGACGACAAATTATATTATATCCAGTTTTTGTGGAACTGAACTTCTCTTAATCTCAAGAGAACTTTAATGTATATAGTTTTATAAAATTATGTATGCTTTAAATGAATCATGTCCTTGTGTTTTTCACAACAGTCCAATAAATTGTAAGGTTAAATAGTGGATTGATCCCGACCCTATTTTACCAATGACAAGGACAATAAACAGAGATAGCTATTGTGCTTAAAAAATAAGAATAGATAGATAAGTAAAACAAATACCTTCAAAGTAATCTCTGATTACAGTCCTCGGGGGGAACGAAGGGATTGCCTTTTTGAAATGATCCTCGAATGTGTAGTCCGGGTACTCGTGAAACTCTTTTGCTCCGTTAGTGAAGAGATTAGTGTACATTCCGTTATGACATAATTCTCCATATTCGTCCGTACCTGTGAATATAGTGATAGTATACAACGTTATGACTTATAAATCAAACTTTATAATTGTCCTAGTACTAAGTATATATTCGTCATATATGCATGCTCTACCAAATTTATTGGTCGATTCATCGATTATTTGTGGTTTGCGGACAAAATATCTTTTAACCTTCATTGGTTGTTATGAAAAATAAAATTTTAAAGAGATATAAACGAAAATGTTGGGCCAGCACATCATCTCAACATTAAAACTATTACCCTGTTTCCTACGATCTATATATCACTATTGATTTACACGTGCAGACTGATATATTGCCCTGTTTGCAGTGGTCCAGATATCACTGGTGATTAACACGTGTAGACTGATAAATTGCCCTGTTTGATGTGGTCCAGATATCACTGTTGATTAACACTTTTATACTGATATATTGCCCTGTTGACTGTTGTCCAGATATCACTGTGATTAACACGTGTTGACCGATCAATTGCCCTGTTTCTGTGGTCCAGATATCACTGGTGATTAACACGTGTAGACCGATCAATTGCCCTGTTTGCTGCAATAAAGATATCACTGTGATTAACACGTGTAAAATGATCAATTGCCCTGTTTTCTGTGGTTCAGATATCTGACACTGATGATTAACACATGTAGACTGGTCAATTGCCCTGTTTGATGTGGTCCAGATATCACTGTTGATTAACACTTTTATACTGATCTATAACTCTGTTTGCTGTGGGCCAGATATCACTGTGATTAACACGTGTAGATTGATATATTGCCCTGTTTGCAGTGGTCCAGATATCATTGGTGATTAAAACGTGTAGACTGATAAATTGCCCTGTTTGATGTGGTCCAGATATCACTGTGATTAAAACGTATAGATTGATATATTGCCCTGTTTGCAGTGGTTCAGATATCATTGGTGATTAAAACGTGTAGACTGATAAATTGCCCTGTTTGCTGTGGTCCAGATATCACTGTGATTAAAACGTGTAGATTGATATATTGCCCTGTTTGCAGTGGTCCAGATATCATTGGTGATTAACACGTGTAGACTGATAAATTGCCCTGTTTGATGTGGTCCAGATATCACTGTGATTAAAACGTGTAGATTGATATATTGCCCTGTTTGCAGTGGTCCAGATATCATTGGTGATTAAAACGTGTAGACTGATAAATTGCCCTGTTTGATGTGGTCCAGATATCACTGTTGATTAACACTTTTATACTGATATATTGCCCTGTTGACTGTTGTCCAGATATCACTGTGATTAACACGTGTTGACCGATCAATTGCCCTGTTTTCTGTGGTCCAGATATCACTGGTGATTAACACGTGTAGACCGATCAATTGCCCTGTTTGCTGCAATCAAGATATCACTGTGATTAACACGTGTAAAATGATCAATTGCCCTGTTTTCTGTGGTTCAGATATCACTGATGATTAACACATGTAGACTGATCAATTGCCCTGTTTGATGTGATCCAGATATCACTGTTGATTAACACTTTTATACTGATCTATAACTCTGTTTGCTGTGGGCCAGATATCACTGTGATTAACACGTGTAGACTGATCAATTGCCCTGTTTGCTGTGGTCCAGATATCACTGTGATTAACACTTTTATACTGATATATATTGCCCTGTTGACTGTTGTCCAGATATTATTGTGATTAACACGTGTTGACCGATTAATTGCCCTGTTTCTGTGGTCCAGATATCATTGGTGATTTACACGTGTAGACCGATCAATTGCCCTGTTTGCTGTGGTCAAGATATCATTGTGATTTACAAGTGTTAAATGATCAAGTGCCCTGTTTGCTGTGGTTCAGATATCACTGGTAATTAACACATGTAGACTGATCAATTGCCCTGTTTGATGTGGTCCAGATATCACTGTTGATTAACACTTTTATACTCATGTATAACTCTGTTTGCTGTGGGCCAGATATCACTGTGATTAACACGTGTAGACTGATCAATTGCCCTGTTTGCTGTGGTCCAGAAATCACTGTGATTTAAACGTGTAGATTGATATAATGCCCTGTTTGCAGTGGTCCAGGTATCACTGGTGATTAAAACGTGTAGACTGATCAATTGCTCTGTTTAATGTGGTTCAGATATCACTGTTGATTAACACTTTTATACTGATATATTGCCTTGTTGACTGTTGTCCAGATATTACTGTGATTAACACGTGTTGACCGATTAATGGCCCTGTTTCTGTGGTCTAGATATCATTGGTGATTTACACGTGTAGACTGATCAATTGCCCTGTTTGCTGTGGTCCAGAAATCACTGTGATTTAAACGTGTAGATTGATATAATGCCCTGTTTGCAGTGGTCCAGATATCACTGGTGATTAAAACGTGTAGACTGATCAATTGCTCTGTTTAATGTGGTCCAGATATCACTGTTGATTAACACTTTTATACTGATATATTGCCTTGTTGACTGTTGTCCAGATATTACTGTGATTAACACGTGTTGACCGATTAATGACCCTGTTTGCTGTGGTCCAGATATCACGTGTGAAATGATCAAGTGCCCTGTTTTCTGTGGTTCAGATATCACTGGTGATGAACACGTGTAGACTGATCAATTGCCCTGTTTGATGTGGTCCAGATATCACTGTTGATTATCACTTTTATACTGATCTATTGCTCTGTTTGCTTTGGACCAGATATCACTGAAATTAACACGTGTAGACTGATCAATTGCCCTGTTTGCTGTGGTCCAGATATCACTGTGATTAACAAGTGTTGACCAATCAATTGCCCTGTTTGCTGTGGTCCAGATATCACTGTCATTAACACGTGTAGACTGATCAATTGCCCTGTTTGCAGTGGTCCAGATATCACTGTGATTAACACTTGTAGACTGATCAATTGTCCTGTTTGCTGTGGTCCACATATCACTGGTGATGAACACGTGTAGACCGATCAATTGTCCTGTTTTCTGTGGTCCAGATATCACTGGTGATTAACACGTGTAGACTGATCAATTGTCCTGTTTTCAGTGGTCCAGATATTACTGGTGATTAACACGTGTAGACTTGTTAATTGACCTGTTTGCTGTGGTCACGATATCACTGTGATTAACACTTTTATACTGATTAATTGCCATGTTTTCTGTGGTCCAGATATCACTGGTGATTAACACGTGTAGACTGATCAATTGCACTGTTTGTTGTGGTCCAGATGTCACTGTGATTAACACGTGTAGACTGGTAAATTGCCCTGTTTGCTGTGGTCCAGATATCACTGGTGATTAACACGTGTAGACTTATCAATTGCCCTGTTTGCTGTGGTCACGAGATCACTGTGATTAACAATTTTATACTGATCAATTGCCCTGTTTTCTGTGGTCCAGATATCACTGGTGATGAACACGTGTAGACTTATCAATTGTCCTGTTTGCTGTGGTTCAGATATCACTGGTGATGAACACGTGTAGACTGATCAATTGTCCTGTTTTCTGTGGTCCAGATATCACTGGTGATGAACACGTGTAGACTGATCAATTGTCCTGTTTGATGTGGTTTAGATATCACTGTGATAAACATGTGTAGACTGATCAATTGTCCTGTTTGCTGTGGTTCAGATATCACTGGTGATGAACACGTGTAGACTGATCAATTGCCCTGTTTTCTGTGGTCCAGATATCACTGGTGATGAACACGTATAGACTGATCAATTGCCCTGTTTGCTGTGGTCCAGATATCACTGGTGATGAACACGTGTAGACTTATCAATTGCCAAAAGAATCACAAGTGGGCTTCGTCGATTTTCGTGTGTTTAGTTTCAATGAAGTCGTTGTGAAGCGGTAAACGCCACATAATGAGGACATTTAAAACTAGTTTCATTTACGATATTTTTTGTAATTTTTATATTAGCAATTGGTAGGTTTTGAAATATTTTTTAAAAAATTTACAATTTATGATATTTGTTATGAAATATTATCTTTATTTACTTTTCTTAGAAAAAAAACACATAAAAAGAAGAAAGTGGCAAAACACCAGATATCATTGGTGATTAAAACGTGTAGACTGATAAATTGCCCTGTTTGATGTGGTCCAGATATCACTGTGATTAAAACGTGTAGATTGATATATTGCCCTGTTTGCAGTGGTCCAGATATCATTGGTGATTAAAACGTGTAGACTGATAAATTGCCCTGTTTGCTGTGGTCCAGATATCACTGTGATTAAAACGTGTATATTGATATATTGCCCTGTTTGCAGTGGTCCAGATATCATTGGTGATTAAAACGTGTAGACTGATAAATTGCCCTGTTTGATGTGGTCCAGATATCACTGTGATTAAAACGTGTAGATTGATATATTGCCCTGTTTGCAGTGGTCCAGATATCATTGGTGATTAAAACGTGTAGACTGATAAATTGCCCTGTTTGATGTGGTCCAGATATCACTGTTGATTAACACTTTTATACTGATATATTGCCCTGTTGACTGTTGTCCAGATATCACTGTGATTAACACGTGTTGACCGATCAATTGCCCTGTTTCTGTGGTCCAGATATCACTGGTGATTAACACGTGTAGACCGATCAATTGCCCTGTTTGCTGCAATCAAGATATCACTGTGATTAACACGTGTAAAATGATCAATTGCCCTGTTTTCTGTGGTTCAGATATCACTGATGATTAACACATGTAGACTGATCAATTGCCCTGTTTGATGTGATCCAGATATCACTGTTGATTAACACGTTTATACTGATCTATAACTCTGTTTGCTGTGGGCCAGATATCACTGTGATTAACACGTGTAGACTGATCAATTGCCCTGTTTGCTGTGGTCCAGATATCACTGTGATTAACACTTTTATACTGATATATTGCCCTGTTGACTGTTGTCCAGATATTATTGTGATTAACACGTGTTGACCGATTAATTGCCCTGTTTCTGTGGTCCAGATATCATTGGTGATTTACACGTGTAGACCGATCAATTGCCCTGTTTGCTGTGGTCAAGATATCATTGTGATTTACAAGTGTTAAATGATCAAGTGCCCTGTTTTCTGTGGTCCAGATATCACTGGTGATTAACACGTGTAGACTGATCAATTGCACTGTTTGTTGTGGTCCAGATGTCACTGTGATTAACACGTGTAGACTGGTAAATTGCCCTGTTTGCTGTGGTCCAGATATCACTGGTGATTAACACGTGTAGACTTATCAATTGCCCTGTTTGCTGTGGTCACGAGATCACTGTGATTAACAATTTTATACTGATCAATTGCCCTGTTTTCTGTGGTCCAGATATCACTGGTGATGAACACGTGTAGACTTATCAATTGTCCTGTTTGCTGTGGTTCAGATATCACTGGTGATGAACACGTGTAGACTGATCAATTGTCCTGTTTTCTGTGGTCCAGATATCACTGGTGATGAACACGTGTAGACTGATCAATTGTCCTGTTTGATGTGGTTTAGATATCACTGTGATAAACATGTGTAGACTGATCAATTGTCCTGTTTGCTGTGGTTCAGATATCACTGGTGATGAACACGTGTAGACTGATCAATTGCCCTGTTTGCTGTGGTCCAGATATCACTGGTGATTAACACGTGTAGACTGATCAATTGTCCTGTTTTCTATGGTCACGAGATCACTGGTGATGAACACATGTAGACTGATTAATTGCCAAAAGAATCACAAGTGGGCTTCGTCGATTTTCGTGTGTTAAGTTTAAATGAAGTTGTTGTGAAGGGGTAAACGCCACATAATGAGAACATTTAAAACTAGTTTCATTTACGATGGTTTTTGTTATTTTTAAATAAGCAATTGGTAGGTTTTGAAAGATTTTTAAAAAAGTTACAATTTGTGATATTAGTTATGAAATATTATCTTTATTTACTTTTCTTAGAAAAAAAACACATAAAAAGAAAAAAGTGGCAAAACACTCATATCTTATTGTTTATAGTGTGTTTAAAAGCAAAAAAAATAATAGCTATGTTTAAAAAAAGAATAATGAAAAATATGTTGTTAAGTTAGCTTATTATACAAGTCACCTTAACATTTTATTTCATAAACAGCTCAACTCAAGGCACTGCACGCATTAGCTATGTTCGGATAAGGAGGCATTGTACAGTTTTAGTTGGTTTCAAAGCATTTACATGTAAGAGACACTTCTTATTTTTTTGAATTGCTATACATGTATTTAAAGTTTCGGTGGCTAGTGCAGTATACCAGTTGTTGTGTTTCTGTTGGATATATGCTGGAGAAATATGGCTGTTTTTGGAATTCTAATGTGCTTTTACGGTGAAACAAACAAAACCTCAGGTCTGTCCAAAAAGAAATACATTTACTTTAGGTGCGTGATTACAGACTTGTATATGATCCCATTCATCTATCCACTCATCTCAATCGCAACTTTTCGGTCCTTTCCGTAAGTCTTCGGATAAGGACCTCGAGTACACATGGTATGAATATACAGAACGATTACGGTATTTCGGTCTAATCTACGCTAAGGAACACTTAACAAGTAAATAAACAAATAGTATTTTAATGTTGGGGGTTGTTGACAAGTTTATTTCAAATATATCAAGTAAAAGTCCACCTAAAAGATACAAAAGCAAACTATACATATTAATCAATATATCTATTATTCTGTCGTACAAAATGCCAACATGCTGACACTGAGTCGGATTTGTTTAAAATTGTACATCAGTGAGCATAGTTAAATCAAAATGGTTGTCAGACATCATCACCGTACTGAAACAGACTTAATTTTCATTTGTATTTCAAATACATTCATTTGTTTTACTTTATCATAAATTACACTCTCTATATCTGTTTTCATCTGAAACTAGTTCAATCCGTATAAACGCTGCAAACTCCGCACAGCGGTTACGTCACGCTTTGCTTCTTTAACCACTGCCGCCACTGAAATCACGTGACGATAGTTGAATCATGTGACAAAAACATGGCGGCCAGTTTCAGAACGCCAAGGATCCAATGTCCAACTGGCAGATTTATAATAACATCCTTACCATATAAAATTGTATGTTCAAAACACTCAATTCGTTTACACTTTAAAACAAGTGCCGGATCAAAATCTTTTACGCAATCGTTCAATCAGTCATTGTTTACTATACATACAGTGTCACAGTGAAAATAGCTTTCGTTATATTAACAAAATAATTTTTTATACTTATATTTTTTTACATTTTTGTACATTAAGCATAATAATTTGATGAAAGAAAACTAAAATGATATAAAGTATTCTATTTTAAAATTAAAAGTGAAAAAATATATTCGGCTACATTCGACCGAATTACTTGTGAATGGCAGTGGTTACTGTACTGATCAGCGGAAGTAACCGCTGCGAGGAGTTTGTAAACGCCGAGGTTATTACAGATAATAGCCGAGGACGTTCCGATTGCCATTATTCTTTGTCTTATCAGGTGGTCAAATATTGTTCTATTTTATAAGTCTAGTTGTCTAGTGTCGTGGCGTTGCTAGAACATATTGAATACTACATCTCATATAACTGATAAAGGTAAATAGCTTGAGTTACAGGGCATGCAGCCGTAACTGTATCTATTGACGATCCGTCTATATTTTTAGTCGTGTGCAGCAACCATGCACACAGACGAAAAGCAATAGCATACCTTAATTTTTTTTATTCTAAAACTTCTTTATCTTTTCGGCCCGTGATATTAAAAAGAAAAAGCATTCAATCCAATACGGATCCTCATGCATAATTAGATAATTAAATCTGATACCTAGTAGGCAGCTTTTTCAAATTGAATTTTTTACCATATGAATTTTCTATCCAATATCACAACGCGCACACAAAAAGTATGAATAATTATTATGTATTTTACGAGATAAAATAACTGCACTTCACGAAATAAATCGTAAATTAAACTGCGTTCAAATAAACAAATTTATTTAATTTCGTTCCCAAACTGTTTTCACGATTTTAATGATAATAATAATGCTTACCTAAATATATTTATTATATACCTATAAATGTTCTCCCTAAAATACACGCAAATATGGAAGCGCAAATACGCTTCAACGAATAGAAATTTCCGTATTATGTTAGTGACAAATACGGTACCATATATGGAAGTGCCGGACTATTTTTGACGTTGGTTCCGATCTTAGCTTTATATAACGTTGCATTTGAAAATGGGAACCAAAATTATTTAAGGCGTGGCCGGTTTGCAAGAATTACGTACGTCAGTCTTGACAAGTACATTTCATTTTCTGAATAAAACGAAAAGGTATATAATAAAAGGAAAATTATGTTATAGAAGCTTTCTGAGACTATGTATTTTTCTACTCGCAACGTTGGAAAATTGATATCAATTTTCCATCGCTGCTCGAAACTAGTACAACATAACATTCCGTATGTATCAGATTAATGCAAGGCGATATCGCTTGATGGTACTAATAATGATTCTGTATTTTTGTAGGAGGTGGAGGCCGAATGCGTGTACCGTAAATATATTTGTATTTGCGATCTAGAGGTACGTTTATATATATACATATGTATTACAATAAATATGATCAGCGGATAATAATAAGAAATTGCAGGCAGGCATTGTTTCTTCTATTTTTTCATTTCCTAAAAAAAATCTGTAAGGCGGGGTTGACGTGGCCTGAGTAACCTACGTCACTTGTTGTGAATTGACGAAGACATCTTTTAACTTGTATATTGATAGTTACGTTTAAATACTTTAAATGATATAAACATACTAGATATGCAGGAGTACAGAAACTTGCAAATTAATGTACGTCATATAAAAAAATGCAAATAAATCATATAAGTATAACACTTTGAGTGCAAATAAGAGTATAGGAATTCAGTTTATATTCTACTTCAAAGATATGATAGTTAAATAACTTTCATCGATTTAAGATTTTCATGTCATAAACGATGACGTCATATCATTCAGAGTAACTCTGCGTTACTATTTGTCAGTTTGTCCACATTTAAATACGTGTACTTAATTTGCATAGTCACGTCTAGTTTTATCGCCGCTAGAAAGTACTATGGTGGTAAGTCAAAATTACGAAACTATGGTCATGAAAATTTCGTTTTTTCAACATCGTACTTTCGTCCTTTCATCAATGTGGTAACGTTGCTTCGTTATATCGACTTTCCCCATCGTACTTTTGACTTTTCATAATCGTGGTGTCGGCTTGTCACTATCGTAGTATCGCCTTCCTGTCTGGCATGCGCACAGAGAAGATAACAATGAATGACAATTTAAGAAAATAATTTTACAAAGGATACAATTAGAATCAAACTATAACAGCTTTGGATCATGATGTTAGAATAAAGTCCATTGAGCGTTTTGCTTAATGTTCACTGAAACGTTTCGGACTACTGGTAACATCTTTACATAGTCATTCAGTGCGCATGCTTAACAGGAAGACGAAACACTGTGGTGAAAACACGAAAGTAGGATGGTGAAAAGTCGGAATGATTTAAATCAGATAAATGCATACCCCTATTTTTGTTATCGTGCCACATATAGGATATATTAGTTTTAAATATTTAGTACAGTATTCTATAACTCTGTACACTTTGCTCCGCAATTTATAAAAAAAAAACAATCTTGCCTACATTCGCTGAAAGGTTTATTTTAAACATTATTAGAAAAAATATTATCGGTATTATAAATCTGTCACAGCATGCATGATAAAACATAGGACTTTACATAGAAAAGGCAATTATGTTTTGAGCGAATACGAAATCACTTTTTACATTTTTAAATGTACATGTAAATTCCCACGAATTATTTGGTTTAAAACAATCGCATATCCTTTTTACTACAGGTTTAAAATTGTTTTTTATACAGATGTGTACATTTATTTTTTTCAATGGTAAGAATGGATTCATTATAATACAAGCATCATAATCGAGAAAATATAGTTAAAATTTAAAACTCGGATGTTCTTTTAGATTACGTCATGTGAAAGATGTAACTAACCTGTCCTCCAGCTGTAGTTCCACAACCCACCCCAATCATTTTGTTTTTCGTAGCATACGAGCTCTATGTCCATTCCGCTACCCATCTTGTTAGCAAAGTGGTATAGAGTAGACATTCCACTGGGACCTGCCCCAATTACGCAAATTCGTTTCTTTGTATTCATTTCTAAAGGATAATATATTAGACTTAATTAATTTAATTATAGTAAATAAGTCTTTTGTAGTGAAGTAGTATCTTTATTTACATCTCATCATTGCATATACATGATAAACATACAAATATATCTAAAAACAAAATAAATAAATGCAATGCCATTCCATATGGAATTTTAAGAGATGGTCGTGAGAAATTACATTAAAATCGAACAGTTTATCTAAAATAAGCATGGAGTTAAAATACTATACAAGAAAGACATAAAACAATTATTTCTTGTAAAACATATATCAACATAAAATAAAAAATCACGAATATCAACATCGGAACACATGCATTTAAGAGGTTTCTGACATATAATAAAAATATATAAGGTAATAAAAAAATGTGTGAAACATTCCACATCTATTGTAATGTTTTATTTACAAAGTTTAAAACGACGTCTATCTAAAATATTTTTACAGGTTTTGGCACAATATCTAATTATTTTTGGCTCTTTATTGGAAAACAAGTAAGTATATTTATCAGAATCTTGCATTTCAGAGAACAAACTATCATGCTCTTTTGCTCTAGAGTACAAATCTACTCTTAAATCATCATAAACCTTATAATTGAACAAAACATGTAATTCATTTTCAACTGAATTATCGTTACAAAAAGGACAAATTCTATCTCCTATGCTCAGACCCTCATAACGACCGGTCTCCATACGAATCGGCGCAACTCCTGATCTAAATTTACAAAATGCTGACTGATGAGAAGGCGGTAATATCATTTAACAGTACTGTTCGCTTTCATACTCAGACTTAATAGTTTAATATAATCGTAACTTATTACGACCGCGGCCAGACGGCCCAGTATCATTGTGTTAGCTAGTTTTCCATTCATTAATAAAATTATTGAGAGACACAGACTCAATAATAACTAGCAATGGGATTGTGTAAAGATAAATATACATTCAAATTATTCTTAATTAAAAATGATTTTATATGGATAAACCCGTTCTTACATGTACAATTAGCTTTATTATATGCTCAGAGTGCAATACGTTTTGTAAATCTAGCCTCTTCCATATTTGCTAACTTTGACCAATACAAAGCAGTAAATTTCCATTGACGGACTATCGGTGGCTTCCATCCCATTTCACCAGCAAGCGCAACATTTGGTGTGTACTTACCAACACCAAGAAAGAATCGCTGTGCCCTATTATAAATTGTGTCAATACATGAATATACACGATGCCCCCATAAAGGAGCACTGTAACTTATAACAGTTTCGTGAAAACATTGTATGGAAGACTACCTAAACTTTTAGATTTTGCAATAAGCAAATCTAACGCTCGACTTGCACTCTGGGCCACAGTCTTAACAGTTACTAAAAGATCCCAATGTTCATGAAAAGCAACACATAGATAGATATATCTATCAACATATGCTAATATACTGGAACCGAATTTGAATTGGTACGCTGCGCGTGCTACGGAATTTGGTCTAAAATGGACAATATTGCTTTTGTTGGCATTAACTTGCATGTCATTTGTACAACACCAATTATTTAAGGCAGATAATAGTAACTGAAGGTCGTCTGCGGATTCAGCCAGCAATACAACGTCATCAGCATACAGCATTATAAAGACTTGTTCATCATCGATCATCATCGATCATCATCTCAAATCCCAAACGATTTTAGATAAATTGATAAATCGTTAATGAATAAATAAAAAAAAAAACAGAGGAGACAATATACAGTCTTGTCTTAAGCCACAGTTTACATCAAACCAGTCTGTTCTATATGAATTTACCCTTCAACAAGCAGAAACAGAATTGTAAAGGGACTTAAAAGCTGTTAACATTTTACTTTTAATTCCCAATTCAGCCAGTCTGTTCCAAAGGATATTTCTATTTATAGCATCATACGCTTTCCTAAAATCGATAAAAGCACAAAAAGTAGATTTACGAGATTTTTTTTCTGCTATCGAGAATTGTATGTAAAGACATGATATGATCTGGCGTGCTTCTGTTTTTTCTAAAACCATTTTGCTCATCTGTAATGATATCATTAGCTTCTGCCCATTTGGTGAGTCCACTATTTAAAACTTGACAATACAGTTTATACATAGATGACGCAAGAAAAATACCTCTATACGACAAAGGGTCTCTTTTATCAGTTGTAGACGATTTTGGAATAGGGTTAATTATACATTTAGACCATAATGACGGAACAATACCGTCCTTTCTATAGAGTGGACAGCATATACAGATTCAACATTAAGTGAACAAAGTTTACAAGTTCGTAGGTTTCGATTAATACCTGCAAATCTACCACTTTCAATTTCATGAAGATGGGAACAGAGTCTAAAACGAGACAATTCTTTTCTTTGATGCTCATTAGTAACAATATCTAAATACTTTTCATATTTAAACTCACATTTGAATTTTCTATATTAATATAACTTATATAGAGTGATTCATTATTGTATCATTCCATGTTTGAACGTACTGATCATGCAGCCTTTGTTTTAACATTGGCAAATAATTCATATCAAGGTTAAGAGAATTCCATAAGTAGCTATATCCAAGACTATCAAGTTGTTTTTTAACAGACGATGACCAAGTAGACATGGTATTGTAAGGTAACAAAGCACATTGTTCCAAAAATATTGTATGTACTAATGACCCTGGATATTTCATTATATTTAACCAGTATTTAAGAGCACGTTCTTCACATATAACAAAATGCCTTACATGGCTCAAATTGAAAATGTTGCTTGTGTCACTGAATCTGATCTTAAATTAATGCTACCGTCTAGTAGGAGAACCTGACTTAAATATATAATTATGTTATATATAAGTAAAATATAAAGTGTGATGTAAAAAAGCACTAAAATCGAAAAGAGAAAAGAAAAAAAAAACATATTTGGTTATGCTTGGAAACGTATTTTAACACTCAAAAACAAATGATGAAAAAAATATAATAAAAGAAAAAAATGTTCACTCTCTGTTCTTTGAATTTTGACAAACAAGCGAGCAAAAAGAATGTAATGTTCTCCCTGTTAGACGTAGTAATACTATAGAAAATATGCAAAATATTAAATTTAATTACCTTAAATCTCCTCGTGTAAAACAAATAATTTAAAAATTATTTTTTTATCACTTTTTATCAAAAGACACCACTCTTCAAAAGGCTTCCCTCAAATCTCGCCGGAGTGAAGACTTGTTATTGATAGTCATTGAAAGTGAACGCATGCGCAATCAACCCCTCCCCGACACGCCACCGTGAACGCAGTCTTCTTCTGCATTAATCCGATAAGTTTAGTTTAAATGTGTTCTTATGCTGTTTATATTAATTGAATATAATACTCTACACTATATTTTGGACAAAAAGACATTTAAATTTATGATATTTTCAAACGTTAAAGATTCTTGTTTGCAATTTAATTATAAAAGCTTACGTGTGAATTTGCACGAAAGAAAATATTACATATTTAATACACAGCAATGCAAATAATTAAAATTATTAAAACCAGCTCTATTTAAATAATCATATTTTTGTTCTGTTCAATACTTCAAATATTAGTACACAAAACAATTAAAGGAAGCTACGTTCACACACATTCAGAAAACAATATGAAATATGCACTACTGTACACCGAACAGACACTGGACATTGCAAAAGATAGGGTACAAGTTCGTTCACTTTACTTCAATATGTTTAAAAAAACACTTTTAACCAACCTTTCAAAACAGTAAAAAAGTGTTTTAGACAAATAAATTTCCCCTCTGTTTAAATGTATTTAAGCATTGTTGTTGATATTGTTGATAACACTTTTGTTCTTGGTTTCAAGTAGGTTGTTTTCATTTATAACAGTGCCATTAGTAATAGACTGAACGTTCGACAGCACCACCACCAAGTCAAATTAAATAGTTTACGTCAAATACTACTGAGTGACGAATTATAATTAACAGAAACATTGTATATACATTTTTTGAATAAATACATGTACAAAACATACATAAGACTGTAACTACAGTACAGTATTATAAAGTTACGTGGTTATAAGAAATAACAGACACAAATAACATTATTATGAACAAGGAATTGTATGAACAAGAAATGATTTTTTTCACAAAATTCCTTAACAGAAAACTAAACAGTATTTCATTTTTAAACTATAATTGAATATACATGTATTTAGCTAAATCTAATCATCAATCTGTTTCGTTTCAAGGGTGTTCATTATTTGTGTCATATCACCTGAGTCTGTTTGATTGGCATGTGTCATTGATTAAACATATAGAAATGGTGTGTTAAATTTTAGAGTTATTTGCATATGAGGAGTGTAATGCATCAGTAAACTGTGTACCACATCCACACCGCCGGAAGATGAAAGCAGGGGGACCTTCACAAATATTGCCTTACCTAAAACGGGAATATTTGAATAATCTAAGCAATAGCTGTGCAAACCTGTCAAAAGTCTAGGGCTTTTCTTGTACTTACACGATTAAAGCATTTATAAAGTTGATGAATAAAAAATCCATATTTATCTAAACGGCCTATATTCAAAATTAAAACTTGCAGATCAGCAACATCACTGCGGTATACCGTACCCCGGATATTGCTCGATATTATGAGGACTTTCATCCCATTTCGCGACTTTGAACGAGGAAAGAAGGTATGTTTAGTGACGATATTTAGTCATTTTGAATTGGTTTGATATAAATTTTGTAGAAAAACAAATACTACGATAATTTCTCTAGTTACTGAAACCCCAAAAATGTTGAGAAATAGCTTTGAAATGTAATTAGGAGGTAAAATTCGTCTCTTTGCTCACGTGATAAATGAGCTCGGATCAGTCAAATTTGATGTTTTTGTGCATATACTTCCTTAAAAGAAAAACTTGAATCGAGTGAAATGTGATAATGATGATAATGTTTATGTTGTAAATGTTCAATCAACAATAGAACCTCAGATGACAGTGCATTTTGAGAATAAATACACATATCAGTGTACCGAGTATTGCGTTGGAGTTGCCCGCCGGTGTCACGAGTATTGCTTTTAGTGTAACGAGTATTGGTTATCAATGGAGAGTAAATGCAAGTAGTAAACACAAAGTATTTACCGCATTTAATTTTAAATATTTCTTACTGTGTATTCTTATTTACACTATATGTGCAGAATATGCAGAATTCGGAGGTACTTTACTTGAAACATCTGCGAATAATCCAGATTTTCATTCCTGCTCGTGAAAAATCTCAGCCGAACGAACTCAGCAATTTTCTGTATTTAAAATGTTCTCGTTGCTATCGAAGGATCAACCTTTCCAGAATTTGTTAATAATTATTGCATATCTTACTTTAAATAGTAAAAAACGCATCCAAAGTGCATTAACACTGCCTCAAGATTGTCAATATTAGACGGTATTGAGCAAGTGTGCCAATATCTAATATCAACCGACTTCCTACTATGCCAAAAATCCATATAAAGGTAACTTTCGGGCATTTGTACCTGCACTCTAGCAAAGGCACACCGTCTGCACGTGAAATTTTGTTACGCCATTAGCAATGAGTTACCGTATGACTGCCGAGCGGGTACAGCTCAAAAAACCGAATAATAGATTTTGATAAGATTATGATAAAGGGCAGCAGATGCAATAAAAAGGTTATGTTCCTTATAACCTTTTACCTCATAAAGGCGTATTTTGAAGGCTTTACATCCCCACCCCTTTTGAGGCCTCAAATAGTGTTAAACATGCGCTATTTAGGCCCCAAACACGGTTTTTTCGTTTGAGAAATGTTGTTCAAAAGAGTGATCAATTTTTCGGCGCCACCCCCATTAAAAAGGTACATCAAGGGGGTTACGCAGGGGGGGGGGGGGATGTGCCCCCTTCTGTTTGGGGGTTTGAAGTGGGGCAGTAGCCCCTCTAATCGCCGAGAAGACTTGGGACTTGTGGGGGGCTAAATGGCCTCAGTTCGATTTAAAGGTACCGTGTAATAAACGCCGAAAACCTAAGACTTTATCTCAATCAATTGAGAAGTTGGTGCACCTTGAAATCAGTTTTGATGGGAAAAAACAACGCAAAATAGAGGTTTTTGGCAATTTTGAGACGCCCCCACCCCGTTGCCATGATAATTGGAAATTTAAAATTGAGCATGCTATTCCACAGGCTATGGTCCAGCTAACATTTGTGCCCAGTTTGATCAGTATTGAAGCATTTTTTATAGTTTCATAGCAGTTTGAACTTGTAACAAGAGGCTTAATTATAATTCAATGAAAACAGCCATTTTTCGCATTATGCTCATGCAGTAAAGGTTAAGACGATACCGGCATGCTTAGACGGCATAAGCCCTCGGACCAGTATTTTATTAAGTGCGTCGATATGTTTTTTAAGGCAAACTTGCCCTGTAAAAACCTATTATTAATGTCATCTAAATATTTTTTTTATTCTTGTCCATTTCAGAGATGGATCTCCTTGATCAAAGTGTCTTGAGACATGTATTTAAAGTTTTTTATCGTCAATTTTGATGGTTCAACCCTGCTTCCGACCCTGCACACACTTTATTTCATCCATAGTGTGCTTTTCAACCAAATTGGAAATTAAATCTCTGTATTTGCCCGTAGGAAAAGAACAGTAATAACACTGAAAATGCACTGTTGAATCTGAAATATTTGAATAAATATCATATAAACAATACATTATCAGAAAAATGAAATTGAATCGATAAACAGACGTGAAAATTAGATAAAAATATCGAGTTTCCATACTAATGTGCTCATTCTGTTTTGCAATACTCTATACACTAAAGTTGGGCTATTTTGCAATACTCTGTACACTTAAAATCAATACTCGGTACACTGTCTTGTATCTTTTTTGGCCTGTATCTTTTTGTACTTTCACAATTTTTGCCTGAAATTTGGACAAGGCATACTTAAATTGTGAATAAAAAAATTGCTCGATTCAATTTTTTTTTTATACTGGTAATATAATAATTTCTAACGATTTAACAGTATCGCGGTCAGTATTTTCTAGTGAGCAGCGGATCGTTTAGGGGTAGTTTAATCAATTTTACAAATACCTGTAATACTTTTACGTCTTTTAGAGCTACAAAAATACCTCTAGATATATAAAACCCGTTTAGATAAATGAAATAGCCATTAGTTTGGAAAATATCGTCGCTGAACTTACCTTCGTTCCCCGTTCAAAGTCGCGAAATGGGATGAAAGTCCTCATAATATCGAGCAATATCCGGGGTACGGTATACCGCAGTGAACATGTAAATTAGGTAACAAGTCGATTATGCAACACTGCACAGTTAAGAGATCGTTATGCCTGTGCTATTTTCATTAGATTTTATCTCATATTTTATTCATTTTGCTATAATGTGAATTTAAATTTAAAGAAAATTGCGTTCTGCTTATTATTTTGACAGGTTATTGCCATATATAAACGTTTATTTGTAAATATACTGAAACAAAAAAGAAACTTTCTCCAAGTTTGAATTTAGATATGTTAGTACAGTTTTTTCAATCCTTTTGAAACTCGACTTTTACGTTGAATAAACATATCGGGCTTTTATACAGAGATTAGCTGACCGATTTTGTAAACAAAACGAGTTTTACAAGCTACTACATGTATATAAGTGTGTACATCTAAGTGGTACACTTGAACAACTGGCACATACTTTGCGAAATTCTCTTTTTTGGTTCAGTATATATATCGCAATTTGCGGTCATATAACCAGGAATATTTATAACGAATTCATTATACTGCAAACCATCCGTGTATGTTAAGTAATAGAAAGAGCATCGACACACGAGGCTATCTGATTTTTGTACGAGAGGGCCAAGCCCCCGAGTATCAATCAGATTGACGAGTGTTTTGATGTTCTTTCTCTTTTGAATCATAGTCAAACATAAAAGTAAACACGTTCCCTGTTGTCACAAATGAATCCCCGGGAAAAAGTAACCAATGAACGAGCATCTGAGTATGATATTTCTGTCGCTTTCCCTTTCTCTTCCGTCACAATAAGTAAACCCCAGCAAAAATGAGCCAATCAATGGGCATGCTCTTGAGTGCGGATCAAGATTTAAGAAATAAACGGCGGGGTCGCGGGACGAAAAAAACGCTTATTAGCAGAGGCGCGGGGCGAAGTTTGATAAAAAAAAAACTTCGCCGCACGCCCCCGCTAATATGTGTGTTTTCGTCCCAAAGAAAGCTTTGTAGTGCGCTCCGCATATTATAGACAGGACTGATTTTAAGAAA